CGTGACAATTTGCGGGGTGAGGAGATGTTAAGCCCCGACCATTTAACTATTTTCCATCTACGGATAAATAGTAAAACTACTTGCATCGTTCCATATCGATGTTGCAATATAGTTTAGCTACCCTGACGATAGATGGCGGCCTGTTAACAAAATGATTATTAAGTATAAAAGTAATATTTTGGTGATTAAAAATTCTTTAGGACTGAATGCAAAACAAATTTCAGCACCTTCGTATGATTATTTTACCAATACTGAGCTCTACATACCTTTATATTTTTAGTTCCCATGACACAGTGTCGCAATCTAATGTCGAATATATTTCATTATATTTGAAAGCCGACGCAGAGATTTTTCTAGAACTATTTTAATAAATTAGGTATAAAATTACAGTAGTAGTTTTTACACAATAAAGCACAACACTTCATCTTTTTCTTCTTAATACTACGAAAATATACCGATTTGCGATTTTCGACACATAAGCGCACAGGACGAATGCTGACGGTATACTAAGTAAAGCCACGTCCACTGTGATGACGTCAGGAATTAGTTAGAATTACACTGCACAGTTGCTTAGGCCATCTCCTCTTTGTATTTGCTCCGTGGTTTGCAATTCACAACAAATTTAAATATGAATCAAATTACCCCTATATTATATTTATATTTTTTTTATATACTGGAGTGGCTTTGGAAGAGAGAGAATCCATTCCACGTTGGGCGCACTATACACAGTAAAAGATTGAGTAAACTGTGAAGTGAAAAGTACAAAAGATTAAGCCTAACTGTGGAAAAGACAAGAGCCTGGAAGTGGACAATGATGATGCTTGTAAAATAATAGTACATAAGCAGTACTGAAATTGTAAATTAAATTTTAAACTGCAGTTTTTAACATGTTGAAATCTGTGCTTTTACTTTAAAAGTATTTCAAACCATCCCTGGAGCAGTGTGACAGTCTAATGGAATAAATAACACTAATGGCCAAATACTCAAATTTTGCTCTATTTTAAGATGCCTTTAAGTCTCATGCTGTCTCTATCATTTTATGTCAAAGTGACTGTGATGACATCACAAGACTTACAATATTTTAAGATTGAGTAGCTTTTGAGTATTTGGCCATAACTTTACCAAATCTCTAAGAATACTGTCATTTATCTGGAAATCTTCATGTCACCATAGGCAATGCTAACAACAACCTCGAGATCAAATGGAGTGATGGATTTTGTGACTTAGCCTCCACATTGCAATACATTTATACATTAATCAGCAGGTTTTTTTTTTAATTTAAAATCTATTCAATTGCTGTTTAGTTTAATTAAAATAAACTGAGTTAATTTCCTATTTGATCTCATATCTAAAACTGCGTTGTGAAAGTGATTTGAAAAGAGTTTTAACGAAGACGAAATTATAATAAATAAATTTTAAGAGAATAACAAAAATATTCACGCATGTTTCTTAAAGGATTGCACTAAGAGTATGAAAAGTTATATTCTGATAAGTTAGTTGAGGTAGACATTAATGTTTTTTTATTTATTTGTATCCTTAGAAGATTGCGGTGAATGTGAAATCAATCATAATATTTACATATAAAACCCAGTTATTATGTTATTAAGTATGGATACTTTAATCGTGCGTTTCAACAGAAGATATAAAGACGTGCTAATTACTACATTACTAATATTTGCAAACAATTTAGGGCACGTTCCGATATACACTGTGACCACTGTAAGGTGTGACATCAATTCAGTATACTATGAAGCCATTCCGTTTTGGTTTGCTATACTGGTTGCTGTTTAAAACAGAATGCAGTCCAGTATACTGTCATTCCTATTTTTTAACACTGTTTTCAAATGAAAATATTTATCATATACACATACGTATCATGTACATGTATTCTGTTGAAAAATTATTATTTGAATGTTGTTGATTTTAAAATTAAATGCCCTAGTTTATTTGAATAACAATATTAACTAATAATAATAACAATCATTTGTGGAAGCTGTTAAATCTCTAAGCGCTGTTATGTTTTTTGATCACGTGATCAAAGTACTGAGAGCACCTTACATCGAAAGCGCCAGTGCTCACAGTACAAAAATGACGGCGGCGATTTATGACGTCATATATTTCCCTAGGGTACTCCGGCAGTATACTGGCATTCCATTACGGAACGAATTTTTCCTATATTAAAAAAGCTACATCTAATATAAAATAAAATATTTAACTGATATGGTTGCTTGCTAATCTTTTATAACTAAAGCTATCAGAACAAGAGTTTTCAAACAAAAAAGTGGGCTACACCACTTCTGTATTAATGACATCTAAGATCAGATTCAAAATGATACTGTTTATACCTCACTTCCGTCTTAGATCCATAGAAACAGTCCAGTGTGAGTTATTCGTCATGTCAACACTGGCTTCATCAAATGTGCACCTCGCCATTGTTGGAATAGTTGTAAAATATAGAAAATGGATGTATTTTAGGGAATTTCAACCCCTGAATTTTAAACCACTCTGCCTTCAAACTAGTAACTGACATTTTTCAGTTAAATTTATTTTCATGAGATTTACATGATATAAAAAATAATTCGCAGACATTTGTATTAACATTATTTTGTTGGCTGCAGGTGTCTATGAGCTGCAGTAGCTATATAACAAGTAGAACTATAACAAGGGGTAAAATTAAAAATTTTGTACAACCGACTTCAATATGAATAAAATGAGAACATCATCATTGTCAAGAACTACTGGTCTAATCTATTTTCTGTTTTGTTTTTCTGCTTTTTTTTTAAAGACGTAGACTTTTTCGAGACGCCATTCTGAAGACTGTTGGCTTGTTTGCATGTCGTACTCATAAACCCATGTCTCGTCGCCAGTTATTATACGTTTCATAAAGGTCGGATCCGTAGAAGCTCGGGAAACCGTGTCTTCAGCGACATGCTTTCGCTGCGCTCTTTGAACAAAATTGAGTTCTTTTGGAACAAGTCGAGCGGCGACGCGTTTCATGCCTAAAATGTCAATGAGAATGTTGTGGACGGACTTAAAAGATATGTTCACCTCACTAGCCAACTCTCTCAGACTCATACGTCGATTTTCGAGCACTAGCTTCTTGATTTTGTCGATGTTTTCTTTGGTCGTAGCGGTTGAAGGTCTACCAGAACGAGGCAAGTCTACTACTATTTCTCGGCCTTCTTTAAAAGCCTTAAACCATTTATAAGCCCTTGTTTTCGATATACACGATTCGCCGTAGGTATTTCGCAACATTTTTAGTGATTCACCACATGAAATATCATTCGAAACACAAAATTTAAGGCACACTCTTTGTTCAACAATATTTTCCATTGTAAAAATCGCCGAGAACTCAAAACTATGACCAACAAAAAGTGTAGTTTAAAACAAATTAAATGACAGATCCCGCTCAAACTTTGCGCGCTAAATCAGTACAGTGCTACCAACATGCAGTAAAAAAATTAGAACGACCTCTTCATCGACCTCGTACATATTTTTAAGTGTTTTTAAAGATTATTATTGACTGAATCTTGACTTTTTGTATGAATGAACGAGTTGCAGTCGTCAAGCTTTCTCATTGGCTGCGGAAACGGAATAAAAATCATTCTACCGTTAGTATTCAAACTGGCAAAGTGTTTGAGTTTTAAAGTGGTTTTTTGAAGAAAAAAAGTGTAAAAAGTAAGTATTTTTCTATTATTTGTTGTATTTAGGACTGAAATCTTGAAATGGAATCAGTGTAGTATTAACATTTCAATGGTTTTATTTGAAAAACATCTGCGGAGAATCATTATACTATATTTCGTTACTAATATGTGAAGTTGAAATGTAATACGACTTTTGCTTTACTTTTACTATTTTGTAGGAAATTTCATGCAGATTTTAGATATGTGATACCTTTCGTTCTGATTTGCAACATTATTTTTTTACGACCAAATTATCACACTAACTCGACATAGCCTATAAAAATATATCCTTACAGGATGTTCAAAAAATAATCGTGCCGGAGCGTAGATCTACGCTTTGTGAATTTTGTTACACAATTATCTATTAATTTTATTATTTTAAATATTTTCATGTCAATTTAGGTAGAAGTATCATTAGCAAGTAGGTAAGTCGCGTGTAGGGTCAAATTATTATTAAGTATTACAATAATTTTTATTTTATTTCTGGATTTTTCTTTACCTTTTATCTTTATCTTCTGTACGAGTATGTCACTGAACTTCTTAACGACTAGACTGATTTGGAAATGTTTGTTTAAATGGGTTCCTGGTCCTAGATGGTTAAGATTTAAAATTGAACCCGCTAGAAAATCTATTATTTGGTAATTTTTGGTGTTTTAGCGGATTTTGATGGATCGTACAGCTACCATCTGATGATGTATTTTTTCTTCACTAAAGTAATCGAATCTTTGACTTTATAATATTGACTTTTTTAAGGAGTTTGAAGATGCAGAAGAAAATCACGAGCCTCTACAGTCAGTGTTTCCTCAGTCTGTGATTGATGCACTGGCTGTAGACTCCGGAAGTGAAGATGAAGAAAGTGAAACTGAGGAAATGTCAGAAGAAATGCTCCGTTCTATTCTTGGAGACGACAATGAGAGTGCCGATGAGCAAGGGGAGGACGAAACAGAGACAAACCCAGAAAATTTTAATTGGTCGAATGACTTCGGAACTTTTACAGGTCGGGAAGAAACCTACACTGAACGGGCTGGGCCAAACATACTAGAAACAAATCCTTTTAAAATATTTAGCCAAATATGGGATAAACCTGTTATGGAAAAGATAGTTGCGGAAACCAACGAGTATGCCTGGCAAACAATAGTGAAGGCGTCGGAAGGTACTATTCCTCCAAATTCTAGACTGCACCAGTGGTTCGAGACATCTCAAAATGAGCTTTACCGGTTATTTGCTATTTTTATACATGGGCTTATGTGTCAGAGTGCGTGCTGACGAATACTGGTCGTCCGGTGTGTTTTAGGAATGCCTGATTTTAGGAAATTGATGCCCAGAAATCGGTATTTAAATTTGATGAAATTTCTGCATTTCGTTAATAATTATCATTTAGACCAAAACGTACATGGTGCTGATAGAAAAATTGCAAAAATTGCGCCCATCATAGACTATGTCAATAAAAAGTTTAGGCAATTGTATACTCCTGAAAGAGCTATAAGCGTTGATGAATCATTACTACTTTGGAAAGGTCGTTTATCCTGGGTTCAATACATTCGATCCAAAGTAGCAAGATTCGGCATCAAGACTTACGAATTATGTGAGGCTAAACAGGATATCTTCTGAAATTTATAATTTATACAGGTAAGACTATAGTACAGTCTTTGCCTTTACACGGATTTCGACAAGCAACAGCTAAAATTGTACTGACATTGATGGAAGGATACCTTGACAAGGGTCACTTATTAGCAATGGACAACTTTTACAATAATGTAAAATTAACTCGATTTTTAAAATCAAGAAAAACTGACGTCGTAGGTACTCTCAACCGCTGTAGAGTAGATAACCCACCAGCTATTAAAAATCTCAATGATAGACTTGGCGACCTCGTAGGATTTCATTGTGGTGATGTAACTGTTATGGCGTGGAAAGATGTGAAACTCGTTACAGCGATATCAACGTTTCATAATATAGACACTGAGGCGGGAACAAGAGCTGGTGAAACATATCAAAGGCCTCTCGCTATTCATACTTATAATACAACTATGGGTGGCGTGGATCTAAAGGATGAGCTTTTATCTATGTATTCAATCGAACGTAAAAGAGGAACAAAATGGTATATAAAACTATTTAAGAGTATTATTAACATATCTGTTTTGAATAGTTATATTATCCACCGTGCGAATTCCCGCAGTTCCAACCGAAAATCTTACACACACAGAAAGTTTCGTTACGTTTTAGCCACAGAGCTGGCCCAACAGCTAAACCTGTCTTACCATACTACAACTGCTCATGAGAATCCAATTGATTCATCCCGATTGGATCGAATTGACCATTGGCCAGGACAAGTAGAATCAACGGAACGTACTAACAAATCTAAAGTACGGTTCAAGAGAGGACGCTGCGTCCAATGTCTTAAAAATAACAAACGTACGGAAGTAAACAGTAGATGCACGAAAAGCAGTGTTTTTTAATGTCTCAATTGTTTTAAAGATTACCATACAATTCAAAATGTCTAATTATTATGTTTAACTTATTTTTAAAGAAATGTTAGCATTTGAAAATTTGTTTATTCGTTACCTACTTGATTTTTTAAGAAGTTATTTAATTTGGTTTTGTTTTGTAGAAGTTTTAGTTCTTTTGTTAAATATCTTATTTTGTAGTTTCAATATATAATTTATAAGTAATCTGAAATACATAGATAAGACTAGCAGCCATCCATTTCATTTATTCCATCACTTAGTGCACGTAAAACATATATTTTCCCGTTTTCAGGGTTCCGTACCTCAAAAGGAAAAAACGGAAATCTTATAAGATCACTGTTGTCCGTCTGTCTGTCTGTCAAGACCCTTTTTCTCAGGAACGCGTGGAGGTATCAAGTTGAGTATATGGTACGAAATTCATATTATATACTAGTCTACTGTCCCTTAGAGCTGTGAAAAAATCAAACTTCTAAGCCAACGCAATCAAAAGATACAGCCGTTTATGCCGTAAATTTTCGACATTCGCAAGTGAATCAAAACCTACAGGTACAGGGTACTTCTCGTGAACTCAGAATCTTAAAATTAAACTTAAAACTTATCTGTGCTAAAGGAATAATTGCGAAAAGCATAAATTTTTAGTTACATATAATAAAAATATTTTTAATAATTTTAAACTTATATACCTACAGATTTGTTCGGAACCCTCGGTGCGCAAGTCCGACTCGCACTTTGCCGGTTTTTTTTTCTATTCTCGTCTTATCATTTTATTTATTACCAAAATTATATAAAAGTACTAGCTTTTTTAAACACACTATATACATAAAACCAGAGCGTAGATATGCGTCTTTGCTTCGTGACCAGAGCGCAGATATACGCTCTCATTTTATAAATGCAGCGTAGACTTATTACACATACTTTAAACAATTTTAGTTTATTTATGGTATATTTTGGCAGTATTTTGACATTTTGTATCCTATACTATAGACAGATAAAAAAAAACAACAGTTTTTGTGATACAACTCTTGTTTTATTCTATATCTTCAAGATGATAACGAAATTTTTGATAGTACTGGATGTTTGTGATCCTAGAATTAAATAAAACCCTATTATTGTGTAAAAAACTATTAATTCTTGAAATTTACATACTGATCTACCAAAAACTGCAATTTATCGGCGACAATTGTTGATTTTTACATTAAAATAGCGATCACAAAAAAGTGTTCAGAAATAGTGCTTGTACGCGAATTCGGCACATGAGCGGTTAAACGTTACCCCCACACTAGGATTTTCTCCTGTATCGTGGAGGCAGTTTACAAACACAAATTGCACAAGGACAAACATTCAGACTTGGAACAATTATTTGTAGGCCATACAAATACTTGTTCAGTTCGGGATTCGAACCCGCGGCCCCCAGCGCAGCAACTCATTGCTAAGCCACTGCGCCACGGAGCCGTCAAATCTTGATCAAATTTATGTGACTATATGAGTTGCACCAGCCTACAAATAAAAAAAAATCATCAAAATCAGTTCACGTAAAACAAGTTCTGAGGTAACACACGTAATAAGAACAGTCTAATCGGGAACATCCTCCTTTTTTGAAGTCGGTTGAAAAATAGACATTGAACGGTTGGCATTTTCGTTACGTTTTAGTTACTTCAAGCCACTTTTCTGGTATATTTTATATGTGTAAAAAATATTTTTTCTGTGGTACCAAAATCTTGGTCACATGGTGAATATGAATGTCTTCAATAATAAAATCTGAGTTAAGACACAACATATTAACACAATGATGACGGCTTAATTAGAGAATTAAAAGAAAATGAACATCCTGTAAAGATTTTACCTAACATGAAAGACACAAGGACAGACACTGGTTGAGACAGAGACTGGTCCCCGACTACATTATCTTTATGAAGGGAAAACATTCTTCCAGGGCCCAGATCTAGCAAGAGCAAAATTTATTCTCACTTTAGTGTCTGGTCTGGTGTTTGTTCACAGAGCTTTGTTGACCTCTTATCAATAGGTGGGACACTGTGTGTACTTATTTTGCTTAATTTCTCTGGCTATACGTCCATCAGAAACTTGAAGTTGGCAGTTTATTTTACATGCTTGAATTTCAATCATAGATATAGAATCATAAATATGTGTTTTTAATCCCCTCGACTTCTGAATTCCTGTGTGTAACGTTTGCACTTCGCCGTCCCTTTTACTAATAACAACAGCAATGTATCTTTATGTCATAATTTGCCAATGAATATTAGCTGTTATATATCTACGGGAGGGTGTACTTTAATGTTCTTATGGCTTTATTTTGGCATAAACCTGTTTTGGCTGTCACCGCAAGAACACTTTTAGTTTTTGTGATATATATTTTCTTTACCTTTTGCTTGTTTAACTGGCACATTTTGCTGCCAATAAACTTGTTTTCTTACACGCTTTTTGCCTTTGATTACAGAGATTTCATTGGTAGTTCTTCTCCTATACTAGATGTGCTCAATTTAGGTTTGGATACTGTTATTGAACAAGATATGTAAGGCTGAGGTGATGGTGTTGTGGTTGAACTAATTGCACATTGTTGAGTTTCTTCGGAGTCGCCAATGTCTGATGATTTTAGATGCATTAAATATTACATATTCAAAACTAGAATTTTCAGTCTAATGCCCAAATATCCAGAATCGATTTTTGTTGTGTTTGTTACAAAACTAGAGAAATGTAGTTTTTATTTTTTCCTATCTTAAAAAATGGCTGAGATAATGAAAACTAAAGTGCACTTTAGCGCGCGATGTTACCGTAAGTCAAAAATTTGACCTGCCGGACAAAGATGTGACGTCATCACTCGCGTCTCGCTTCGCACTTTAAAGGAACTTACTATTTCGCTCGCAATTTCGGGCGGGTCACTTACCGCTGTGATTATTATTTTTGACTAAAATTGTCATGTAAGTATTTTGTCGTCCGCGAGTGTTACAATACGACCAAAAACCACCAAACAAATTGTTTTTTTATAGTTCCATATTAGCCAAATATCAGAAAAAGTGGATGATTGTTTTATGGAGAGCAGATTCTATTGAAATAAAAACTACCTCGTCCTGTTGTGAGAATCATTTTGATGTAATTTTTTTTATATTATTTTGTATTTGAAAAATCATAATATTCATGATTCTAGTATATTAAACACTAGCTAATCGTATAGAGATTAGATTTCACATTTGGTATCACACTGTCATCGGCGTGCAAAAGTCCATAAGAGTGCATTCAAAAAATGCTATATATATAGGTAACTAACATGGCTTATAAATTTTGGCACGAAAGTCTAGCGGTGACCGTTATTGCGCGTAAGTCGCGCTGATTGACTCCAATCACATTCGTGCAATTCAATTCGAGCGCGTCCCCTCCACGTTTCGTTCAGCGCTAGACTTATGTGCCGCGACTTGTACCTATATAAACTGTTTATTTTAGCTTGAGACCCGCATTTTAAGAATGTGTGTTAGTTATTTCTAGCTGTGCTTTGACCTGAATAACTATTTTAAATAAACATGGCACTAAAAATATCATTAAATTTTACCCAGAATCGTTTTCGCTTGGAAATTGAACCCCGAGTCCCTGATAGTGAGCTAAACCACAAAGGTAATCATAAAATAAATTCATTTTTGTTGTTAGTTGAAAATGACGTGAAGTTTAAACGAGTACGAGGACTGCTGAAACTTAGACAAGTTCTCTTGTCAGTAGCAATGAAATGAAAACCCGTACGTTGTAGAAAAACGTAAAAAAGCAAGAAGCAGAAATTATTAGCAAATTCTATGTGAAAACGTAAGGTTTAGTTCTTACTAAACTTTTCGACTAATGCGACTAGCTAGCTCTGTTCCAACATGAGTTTGGTATCCCTGTACCCTTAGTAACCCTGAATTAGGTACATGACATGTAATATTCCTAACGCACCGTCTACTACTTCATTAGATAATTTAATGCTTACCTTGCTGCTATCGTCACCATTTTAATACCTAAATATTGAGCCACCATAAAACCATTCACTTAAGGTCATCATTATCATTACAGCCCTTCACAAGTCCACTGCTGAACATAGGCCTCCCCCAAGGAATGCCACAAAGCACGGTCCTGAGCCACCTGCATCCATCGACTTCCATCTAGTGGGGGGGACGCCCTACATTTCGCCTGCCACTCTAAAACCTTTCTTCCCCATCGGTTGTCGGTTCTTCGAGCTATATGGCCCGCCCATTGTCATTTCAGCTTACTAATCCGTTGGGCTATGTCGGTCACTCTGGTTCTACTGCGGATATCCTCATTTCTAAGTTTATCACTCAGAGAAACTCTGAGCATAGCCCTCTCCATAGCTCGCTGAGCGACCTTGAGCTTCCTCATCCGGCCAGCAGTGAAGGGCCACGTCTCAGTTCCATATGTCATCATTGGCAACACGCATCGGTTGTACAGTCTCGTTTTCAAGTTTTGAGAATAATAATATCTGTATAATATCTGACGAGAAGATGTGCCGTAATTTCCCGAACGCTGCCCAACCGAGTTGAATCCGTCGATTGACCTCTCGGTCGAAGTTAGACTTACCTAGTCGGACTATTTGTCCCAGGTAAACATACTCGTCAATAACTTCAAGCTTAGTGCTCCCAACAACTGCCGGTGTGACATGGACATTAAACATGATCTTTGTTTTGTCCATGTTCATCTTAAGACCTATCCATTCTGAAACACTATTGAGGTCATTGAGCATAGTGCTTAGGTCTTCCAGCGATTCTGTCATAAGGACTATATCGTCGGCAAATCGAAGGAGAGTGATGTACTCGCCATTGATGTTAATACGGTATTTATTTCCAGCCCAGAAGCTTGAAAACGTCTTCCAATGCAGCGGTGAAGAGTTTCGGGGATATAACGTCACCATGTCTTACACCTCTCTGCAATTGGATAGGTTTCGTATTCTGGTTCTGTACTCTGATAGCTATCGTATCCCTTCAGCACTTCGATATACCGACAGTCAACTTGGCACCGCTGAAGGGACTGCAGCACCGCTC